ACAAAAGCATGATCCTGTAAAACACAGTTTGTGTTTTATAAAGGATGGAGATGCAATAGTGTGTGAATACAAAGAAAATCATAGAACTCCCATGAAAGAAGCTGTTCTTGTTGTGCTGGTACAATGGCAGAAAATATAGGATTTGTGTATTGGCTTCTGGGTGGACTAAAAACACCTTTAAGAATGAGAAAAAACCAGCAGCTCTGTACTTATCTTCTCCTCAAGGTCCCACTGGGCCAAATTTTGTTGTATTTTTACAGCTGTCAATTTCTAAAGGACCCTCAATGCAAACAGCAATTATTCTGTACTTTCACCAGCAGTCTGGCTCAACGAGTTTAATGGCAGTTTGTCTGCCTAAGAACCTTGGGATTTGTCTCAACATATTTAATTGGACTTTAAGTGTGAGCTCTAGGAATAGGAGGCTGCTGTTAGCATCAACTGAAATAATGCTAATACCAGGTGCAATTAAATGACTACAAAGAGTGGGTACATGAGCTGCCTGGCCTGCTTGCCTCTTAGGTGGTCAGACTGCATCAAGAAGCTTTAATTTTGTGGCTTCTTTGATACTTTGAGCAAAGCCCTGCCCTCAGACACATACACACCTCCCTCCATTGAATTAATACATCTCCTGTTTATCTCTCAGTCTATAACCCTTGTCTAGAATCCTCTGACAGCTCAAAGAGGAGGGAGGGATGAATCATGTTGCACTCATTCTCCTCCTTTGACTAGACACTAATAAACATAACACAGCTTGAGACAAGAGGCTCTTTATAATGACAGATTCCAACACATCTTGCCAAAACCAGAGGGGGGCACCACTACTTCTGACTGAGGTACACAAACCAAAGGGAGAAAACAGCCCAAACCCACCTCTGGTGTGAGCAGGTACAGCCTCCCAGGCCTCCGTGCCACTGATAAATTTATCCTGGGAGATAACACTGTGCATCATACGAAGGACCTGAACTGTTCCACTGAACTGAACTTCCTTTTTCTGACCCAAAATACATACACATCTTCCCTGGGATGGAATGGCAGGAGAGTTCCTTATGTTGGATAAACAGGTCTTTCCTCTGGGCACGCATTTTGTACTTGCTCTAGACCCTTCCCCTGTGTCCTGCAGCCCACAAATGCTGGATAACAAACCCCTCATTCATTAGGGCCACCAAGCCCTAGGTTGTGTACTGGATTATAAACTTGTTTGACTTTGCCAGAGTTCATGTTCACAAGGGGAACGCGACTTCTGCTCCCAAAAGCACAGTTATAAATTACTTTTGAGAATGTCTCTAAATACAACTGGAGATCTCTGAGGTTCTCTTGTGTTCTGCCCTGATTTACTGTGAGACTGCAAACAACTCACTTTATACAGGAGATTCTGTCCACATAAACCTAAGGTAAGGAGACAAAAACTGGCCTATAAAGAGAGGCAAACAAGACACTGTGATACAAGCTAGGAAGGCAGCAGTAAATCTTTTAGATGCCATCATGGAAGGGGAGTTAAAGATGGTGAACATAAAACAGATCTCCCTTTTAATGCAGATTAAATAGCACAAAGTGGATGAGAATGGGAAAGGGGGAAAGAGGTTGGAATATACACAACCATACTGAGTGGGTCCTAAAAAACCAATTTCTTATTCAAAGAGTGGCCAGCATAATCTCTTTCAGAAAAACCCGAAGAATCACAGTAGTCTGTGGATTTGGTATAGTCTGCCTCTCAATGAGCCACCTACAGGCAATTATGAGTAATAATAAATTGCTAAATAATAACTGTAATAAAAATACAATTACAGTAAGTAAGAATTAGCTCAAATCAGGATTTTGGGAAAAAAGATTGAATGTGGAAAGAACAAACAGTTTGAATTGGAGAATGCAAACAGGATGAAACAGCAAGACAAACCAGTAGCCTGGATATACCAACTGGGAGAGCACAAAGCACTGAAGGAAACTCCAGAAAGTCATGCAGGAATAAAACAAGAGGTTTATTAAATGAATCATGAAAAATCAGTGAAGAAAATTAAAAAAAAAAATTGCATTAATTTTTATTTGGGACACATTAAGATGGTGCTAAAGAGAGAAACTAGCTTTGCATTTACTAACATAAACTCATTGTCCCAAAGTTGCAAGAGTGAAAAAATGATCCCAGGGAGTGAGAATGCATCAAATAATATGTGAAAAAATGATAACTTCTGTGGAAGAAATATATCATGTTCTCCACAGAAGGTCCAGAGCAGAGTTTTCATTTACAAAACAAGTAAAAGCGCTGGGTTTTTGCTGTATAACAATGCTCCAGCAAGCAAAGGATGCTGACTGAAGCAGAAAAAGGGCAGAAGACAGAAAAAACAAGTTTCCATTTGAAAATTGAAGCACTTTGATGATGAAAAGTGGTAGCACTCACAGTAAACTTGTGCACATTCTCCTGAAATGCTCACTTACTCTATTAGAGATTTGTTCAGATAAAGATCCAGTTCTGCCTTCTGACACACCAAGAAAATTGTGTTGACTGATGGAAACATTTGGTCTCAAATCAACAAATCAGCATAAAAACGTGGGGCCTTCCTGTCAACTAAGCCATTAAAATGTAATATACACACATCTCTTAACAGATCTAGACCAAAGCAACAAATTCTTGCTCCTTTCCAGTGTTAAGTTAAGGTCATCCTGCCTAACAAGCCATTTCATACAGCCTCTCCCCAAAGTCTCCTCTGCAGCACTGGCAGATAACAGACAGCTGAATGACTGAATACTCTAGGTCATCCAAAAAATTAGATCAAAGAGTCCCCGTAGTCTATTGAAATGCAATTGCTTCCAAATCACATTGTGGTGTTCCAGGCTTGAAAGAATGGGTCACTGCAGCTTTATTGTAGAGAGGCTATTGCTAATGAAAGGAACAATGGAAAGATTAGTGCTACCAACCATATAGAAGAAACACCACTTTCGGTTTAATTGCAGTGAACAAAGCAAATAGGAAAGAAGGGCAACCAAGTGACAAAAGTAGTTGGTGCAAAAGGATATAGAAGCTATTCACAAGGTTCTCTTGATCAGAGCACAGCGTCCAGACTTAACATATGATTACTGAATTTGGATCCCAGGGAAAAGTGACGTGGGTGTCATTACAGACAGCTGACGACATCTTTAGGAGGACAGCCTTGTAAACTGAAAGACTCAGAATCCTGTTGGTAATTTGCCTGGGATTCATTAGGTGCACTGAAATTAATAGATGGGTAGGGAGAGAAAGGAACAATTATACTTTGGGATACCTACCCTACAGGAGATTATTGTAAGTAAAGGTTTACTTCATTTGCCAGTTTAAAACAACAATTGAAGGCAAAAATCTATTGAACCTTGAAATTAATTTTAAGCAGAGATTCTATTTGTTGATAATTTAGGTACTTCCATAATAAGTTTGTTCACACCACAATATTTATTCTCTTTTGATCAGTTTCTGGATCTTTTCTAAGTGAAGCTTACCAGTCATAACAACCTCTGTGTCGAGACAGTGGTAAAAGATCCATTTCATTCTCAGTTAAGATCACCACATTCTGTTCCTCTGTGACCTGAGGCAGGCTTGAACCTTCCTTCTCCAGACAAGACTTGACAAGCTCAACTTCACTTAGCTCAGAAAGCATGTTAAAAATCAAAATGTGGGCAAATGGGGGAGATCTCCCAAACTGTACCTGCTGTGTGTAGGTAGAGCACTTCCCATAGTAAAAAGACAAAATACTGCAATGAGTGAAAACAAGGTATTTTTCTGAATAAATCTGATAAAAGGTGGCAGTTGTGAACATGAAGCTTCCATTAAAACAACTGAACACATTTGGTATTAACAGTTCAGCATCACAAACACAGCTTTAAAAGCAAAAGAAAGCTTCAACCCAGTTCCTGGCACCTGCTCCAAACTCACATTTGCAACTGTTCAAATGAACTGTTAAGATTACTCTAACCTGATGGGAGGAAAAAAATAAAAAGTAAAAGGACACAGCATTCAAAATATAACCCAGACCACTTCAACCAGTTATCAACATCCCTTCCTAATGAACAGGCTTCTCAAGTCACTGATTCCAGTTTCAAAGGAAGCACTGGCTGTCTCAAGTGCTCCTTTCTGGTCCCGTCACACAGTTTAATAGCCCTCAGAGACAAGTACCTTTGCAAAACAGATTTCAAGAGGGTGACCCAACATATCCTCTGGACCTTTAGTCAACCACAAAGCACACAGATGACTTCATAGACTTCCCACTCAATGTCACTGCCTTCCTCTGCAGCCACAGCAGACTGCTTTGCAAGTGCAAGCGATTAAGCCTTAAAAAACATCCTTAGCTATTAATTCTGTAGACAATTCTCCTAAATTACATCAGTAAAGCCTTCTCTGCAGGCAATGAGCACTGTCAAATCTATTTTGAAAAAATCACCTGTGAATAATGATTTTCATGAACTTGGCTGACAGCCATAAATGGAAAATACACAATGATAATATTTAACACATTCATAAGAGATCAACTCATGAAGACCTGTAAACCCAAATAATGCTTGAATTATCAAAGGAAACAAAGGGAAATTTGTTCATAAGTCCTGCCAAGCTAGGAAATTCACCCTTCCTTAAATTAGTTGACAAACCTAGATATAATATTGTTTTTCACAAGCTTCTGGACTGGCTTTTTTCCTTTATTCACCACATTTCACAAAGGCAGGAAAAACTTTTACTTAAGAGTGAGCAGAAATGTATAAACTATCACAAACTGTAACAAATTGCTATGGGATAATTACTAGGACTACCAGCTAGTCTTGTTTTTTTTCCTGAAAGACTGTCATAAAAAATTACAAAGGTTTGATGCTGTTCATTGGCTATAATGAAGTCTCTTCTGTTAAATACAATAGCAACTAGTGATACTAGAAAAATCACAAAAGGGTTTATGGTGTCTTGACTATTATGTGAACTACATACCTTCAGCTACTATTGCACACACAAAAATACTTTTAAAGCTGATTTGTTTTAAATAGACACTTACCAAGCCTACACACGTAGATATTGCTACTGAAGAGGTGCTATCATTCCTTATAAATCCCTGGTAGAAACACTGCTCAATTTCATGGTCCTGAGAATTTGACAGTCCATCTTTCCCGAGTACCTGGACAATAAAACTGTTGCTTAAAATGGTTGAAGGTTTAAGCTCTAAGTGAAGTTCCTGTCCAAATGCTGAAAATTTGTAGTGCAAGGAACTCTTTGAACTCTGAGTTGATCTCTTTCTCCTAGTACTGTGCAAAACATCATGTGAAATGTACGATCCGCTGGCATCCACTCTGACAGGTGTCACAAACACATAATCTGTAACGATAAAGAGTTGGCCATCAGCTCTGGCATCCCACAAACAAGGCACTCTGACACAATATCAGGCATTTCCTATGGCATGGAGCATTCCCTCACTTTGGGGCTGGCCTGCAGGCTCTGTGTGTGCTGTCTCGCCTGCATAAATTCACCCCCGTAAGTCACAAAGGCTCTCAGCCTGTGTTTGTTTCCTTTGTGCCCCACTGAGAGGCACAGACTAACTAGCATAGCTGTGAACATTCCCACAACTGCTCCTCTGAAGACATTTGTCATCACCAGCAGATCTGGAGGTTTTCCCCTCCCCCTGTATTAATTGTTGTCAAATGTGAAGGCCGCTCTGGTTTGAGAGGCTTTTCCCTTCCCTAAGAATGCAGCAAATGTTGTATCACTGTAGGGGTAGCCATGACTGAGACCTTGCAGAACTCTACCACTTGTTCAAGTGGATTAAAGGATTAATTTATTAATGCCTTAACTGAGTGAGACCTCATCTCTTTGTAGTGACTTGATTAGACTGGGTTTCAAATTGTAACTGACCTCCAGCAGAAAGAGATTACATCCTACCTAATAACCTTTCATCAGCCATTGCTAATTGCATGTCAAAGAAGTTTATTGTTTTGGATAAAATATGCAAAAAATTACAAAACTGTTTTTGAGGAGAACACTTTGATCTACTCAGAACCACCCAAAAAAAGGAGGGTGAAAGAGGCCATAATTCAGCTGGCTGTACAAGCAGGTGCCTCACTTGCAGTACATTACCATTGGTGTTGACCTAGCCATGCAGGGATTACCTGTGTCCTGGAACCAGGGTCTGAGTTTCAGCTGTTTCCTGAACTAGGATCTTTGCACCCATTCCTGGTAGCCTAAGAAATTATGCTGAAAAAACTGCTTCCCAACCCCATTTAATTTAATTTGTGAGCTGTGTTTCTCTGTGGACACTTAGAGTTGTCCATGCACTTGACAAGCAATTAATTTCTCTTCCTAAATTGAAATAACACCATCAAAAAAGAAGAAAACCCCCTCCTTTTTGTGTTGTAACAGATGTTGCAAAATCTCTCAATCAATCTCTTTGCCTGAATAGACTTTATTGGACACACATTAGGCTGAAAACGTAACCACTGACAGGTTGCTTTTCCTTAGACAGTGGAAACAATACATCAAGAGCTTTCACTTTCCTCGAGTGGTGTTAATCAACGGCAGAAGCTGAGGGCGCTAAGCAGGCTGGTGGCCAAAAAATGCAAGCAGCTGCTGGAGAGAGGGAATCCCCCAGTGAGCAGAGCACAGGGTGCAGGAGGGGTTTCCTTTCTGCACCCTGGTGTGGTTCTCTGTTGCACTTTGTTTCTGCTCACACACCATACAAAGCATATACTGCACTTCAAAAGTCCCAAAGCCATCAGCATCGACGTGCTAGCCACTCCAACCTGGGAACAAACGGCTCCTGAGCTCCCACTCACACGAGCCCTTTCTCTCCAGGTTTTTTCCCCCCCTTAGCCTGCGTTGCACAGCTCCTCCTGCTCCCCCTCACAAATCTTTTCATTACTTTTGTCTCACTGCTTCCACAACAGACACATGAGGTTTTGCTGTTGTGGCTACACACACACACACATTCATCTTTCTAATCGCACATGGAAACGTGGATGTATTTACCATCTCATTCATTTGCTTTGCTGCTACATATTGTTCCTTTCAGCTTTAGCACACAGGGCTTAACAAGTTAATCCCTGCCCATGGTTCACCATCCCGCAGTAGCCAGCCTGCTTGCACTTTATGCTCCCTAAACACTGTGACTTCTCCCCTCTAAAAATTCACTCCACGAAAAAAAAAAAAAAGAAAAAAAAAATCCATGCAAATGTTCACATACAGACACAGAAAGAGCTATACAAACCATGAGTCAATTCACTGATGCTGTCACTGGTTAAAGTTGCCGCATGAGACATGCAACAGAGGCAACACAGCTGAAGGGTCTGCAAGAGAAAGAAAAATTAAAAGAGAGAGAGAGAAAAGGAGCATTGGGTGAAGTTTCCTTGACAAGGCAAGGCAGAAAGACAAGGCACCAGAAACCGCAGTAACCTGGTATGAAAGTACACTAGGCGACTGCAAAAGAAAGTGCTCTCGACCTGCCTTTACAGCGCTTCCGAGCCACGGGAGAGTCTGGAATTGCATGGAGCTGCCGCCGAGGATCGCAGCAGGTAAAGTCCAGACGGCCAGCAGGAGACAGTCCATGTTCCGCCGCGCACCTGGCGAGTGCTACCTGCTGCCCGGGGCGTGCGGCCGCCTGCCCCGCATGGTCACCTGGGCGCTGCCCCGCAGCCGCTGCGGCGGCCGGCGGAGCGCGGGGAGCGGCGCCCAGGTGAGCGCGGCCCCGGCCGCCCGAGCGCTTTAAGCCCCGCCGCCGCCGCCGCCGCCGCCGCCGCGGGGCAGCGCTGCCTCCGGCGCCGCGTCTGGAGCGGCCGCACCCGGGGGGCGAGCGGGGCGGGCGGGACCCGCGGGGCGGAGCGGGGCCGGGCCGGGCGGGACAGCGGGCGGGAGGCACCTGGGGCCGGGCACGGCGGAGCGGAGCGGCGGGCGGGGGGAGCCGCGCACGGCACGGCACGGCACGGCACGGCACGGCAGGGCAGGGCGCACCTGAGGGGATGTGCAGACAGCGGGGGACCTGCGGTGAGGGGCACAATGGGGCCCGGCCCGCGGGAGTGGACACAGGATGGTCAGGCTGGAAGGGATCACGGTGGATCCAGCCACAGTCATCCCAAGCACCGGGCACAGGGTTGTCTCCAGGCAGTTTTGGAATGTCCCCATTGATGGAGACTCCACATCCTCTCTGGACAATCTCTTCCAGTGTTCAGCCGCTGCATAGGGAAGAAGTCCTTCTTCATGTCCAGGTGGAACTTCCTAGGCATCAGTTTCTGCTCAGGGCCTCTTGTCCCATGTCTCTGGGCACCTCCAAGTTGCACCTGGCTCCATCCCTTTGGCACTCCTCCTTCAGACACTTCAGGTGCTTGGCACTATGTCTTCATACATTGATGAGATCCTCTCTACTCACAAAGATTCCCTCTCTTTACAAAGATAGTTCTGTGAGCATGCTGGGGGAGCACAGTCCAGGACAAGCCATGCAGCTTCCAATACTCACTTGGAGACAATGTGCTGTTGTTTTCTATTATTTTTTAAAGCTGCATCATTTGAAAACAAAGAAACAAATCACACAAAGATGAAGGTGCCTGGGAAGTGAACACAGCTGTGACAGGTACTGGACACTGATGTCCATCAAGGAGCTGATTTTCACACAGTGGTTCACACAAACTGAGTCAAACACAGCACCAGATTCTGGTCCCAACCAATGTAGTTGTGCTATTGCACACTCCTTTCTGCAGAAAACTTCAGGAAAGGATCAAAGATCCAAATAATCTAATAGCAAACAAGTATTGAAGTGGATGGGACTGGTCCAGGCTGGAAATTAACACAGAGCTTGTTTCTGATGATTTTGGCACTTGGGAGAAGTGTCCCTCACCTCATGATCTCTCTTTTGTGCCAGAGAGTTTTCCAGTGTGTGTCTCAGTCTAATCTCACTCAAAATCTCCCTTGTCCCACAGTCACACAGAGAAAATAAACAGTAACTGTGTCAGCTTAAGGTGCCTCTTTGCCCCAGCTGGCACAGGAGCTGGAGAGCACCTATGGAAGCTGAGGTGAGACAGAGGTCATCTCCTCTACCTGCCCCCTTCGCCAGGGGTATCGTGGTGACTAGTCTGGGGCAGTGGATTATTAGACAGATCTGAGATATTTTTGCTTTTAAAGCATTTCCTGTGTTTAAACATTAAATAAATTCCCAGGCGTGGAATTTCTCCTTCATCTCACTCCATTTTCCAGCAGCTTTTACATTATCACCTTCTGAATATATTATGATAAAGTTTCAAAATCTGTTTGTAACAGTGCACCTGCCACCTCCCACTGAGTATATTCAAATGAAAGAGCTAGCCACGGGTTTACAATCGTCCCAGTGGAGTAGAACACATGAAAAATACTGCGCATGGCAGATAATAGGAGAAAAATATAAAATTACTGGGTTGTAATTTTATTATCAGCCCTCAGCACTCTGAATTGACAGACCTGACTGTTTTCAGCAGGCTACTTGACAATGAAATTTGACATTTCATTTGCTGTGAGGGGAGAGAAATAAATACAATTCTCCAGCAATTACAAGAATCATTTAAGAAATAAAAACAACTTCCACCATGAACTGTGCATCACTGAAAGGAGGTTTGCTCTGGGTTTCTGTAGAGCTAAGATTTCACCCTGGGGATTTATAGTTTCTGGGTATGATCAAAGAAGAAGAAAAAAATGTGACACTGCTTTGCATGACTATAAATGACATGCATCTAAATTTGAGTTGGCATTAGGCAGGGGACTCCAACCTTTCCTGGCCTGTAGGCAGCAACATTGATCAGTTAACATGCCCAGACAACATCATCCTTTGCTCCCCAAGTCAATCAAGATCCCAGCAGTGATGGTCATAAACATCAGAGAATCCTGCAAGGCAGCTCGTTCCATGTGCAAACACACCATGCAAAACATCAGAGAAAGCTAAAGCTCCTCAGCCAGCAGTGGAGTAAACAATGCAGTCAGAGGGGGGCTTTCCTCCCCCCTCTCCCTAGCAAGTCCCACCTCAGATGACCACAAACACAGATTTCCTCAGAGACAGCCATTACCACACTGCAGTCTCATTGGGCTCTATCCTGCCTAAGCTCCCAGGATGGATGCTCCCACCAATTTTTTATGCTGATCAGTTTTATCAGGTTCTCAAAAGTTCATTATTGTACCTGCATAGTTTGCATCCACCTGTTCTAATTGTTTTTGCCTGTGTGAGAATCTCCTTTATTGCCCAGGAATACAAGGAACTGTGCAAAGGAACTGTGCAACCAGCAAAGGTTGTCACTCTGGAGCAGCATTGCCCTGCAGGTAGCAATAACCTTCTTGGGGAGGGATCTCCAGCCTGAAGAGATCAGCTCCAAACCCCAGTGGGGAGGTCAGGATTGCTCCCAGAGCTGCAAGGCAGAGGAGGAGGTTGCTGCTCCACAGCAGCACTGAGTTACTGCTTCGCTTTCCCCACACCAAGGTCCAAGAGCAGAGCCCAAGTCTCACCAGGATGTCTCACCCCCTCTCTAGACAGACCACACCTGAAAGCAAAGTGTCTGTCCACTGTCCTGATGGCTGCATGCAAAGATGGTAGATGTTCTTGTTTCGACCTGTGAGCAAATCATAGAAAACTGATTACTATTTTTCAGGAGTCTATTCTTTCTAATTCTGAATCCTTCTTTTCCAATAAACTTTCCTATTCTTTTTTTCCCCAAGAATGATGCTGTCATGACCATCATGATAGAGTCAAACTGCACACAGAGCTCACACAGCTGTGGCTGCCCCATCTCTGGAATTACCCAAGGCCAGGTTGGATGGGGCTTGAATCAACCTTATCTGAAGGAAGGTATCCCTGCCCATGGCAGGGGTGTTGGAAGGAGAGGTCCCTTCCCATCCAAACCATTCCATGGTTCTATGATTCTGTGCTTCCTGCTAACATGACTGACAGGCACGCAGGAGAAACAAGCCCTGGACTAAAACCCCACCATGTTTGTTTTGCCATCTTTGTTAGAGCAGCTCTTCATCATGTGGGACATTTGTGACCACTGACCTGAGTGAACAATTCACAGAAGACAGAGAGCTGTCAATCTAGATTATCTTCCAGATTTATTTGTGTTTAAAATTAATTTTTATAATTTATACTAGAGTTAAACCACGTATGGTTGGATGACTGGAGGCAGAGTGCTTTTGATGGGAAATGGTGCAGGGGGGGCTCATTTTAATGGATATTCAGTGAATATGCATAGTAGAATCAGAGCAGAATTTTCTTTTGCTAAGTTAGCATTCAGTTTCTGCAACTGTCCATTCCTGCTTGACCATTTCTGGGACCATTTCTTGCCAAATTACATACTTGTTGGGTTACTCAGGATACATATAAGCACTCCATAGGATTCGTCCAGCTCCATCTTTACCCTCTCTATGTTTATCCTCACGATGAAGTTTCCCTCTTGGGAGGCACAGAAGCTTTTTGCCTTCAATTCTAGTGAGGGATGATTAACCACATGCTGGGTGAAACTCTTTGCATAGAAGTCTTCTTAGAATCCCCTTTACAAATGACCCTCTTTAGAATGAGCTGGTAGTGTTTAAAACCCATCAGTTTCATCTTTGTCACAAGTTGAAGAGGCCCCATAGTGAAATTATGCTCCAAAGTTGGTTGTGTTCCACACTCAACACAACAGCTAAGGAGGCTTTTCTTTCTCATTACATTTTTCATTCAATAACCTCAAGGCATTTTGTGAATTTATATAATTTGTCTAAAGAGTTCAGCAGCTGTTACTCAGTTGTAGCAGGATGAGATGGCTGGTTGAGCAAAATATGAACAACTTAAAAAAGACCTTGGGGAAGGTCTTTTTTTAGATTCAGTGGAGTTGCAGGGATGTGCTCAGCTGGTATCAAATCCCATTGGTCTATCCTTACATTATCTAAACCCATGTAATACTGTACAATTTGAGGCCAAATCGGCCAGCTGGCATGACTGACCACAGCTCCTTTCTCTGGGTGGGTTAGAGAACCTGAGAAGAGAATCTTTGTGCCCTCCCTGCTAGAAAGATCCTTTGTGCAGACAGGAGGCTGTGAACAGAGAGAGGTGGTGCCCCTCAGGTTTGGGGTGAGGGCACATCCTGACACAATGAGGGTCTGGGGACACAGTTCAGCTTCCCCACAGCTGCAGCACCTCCTGCACTGCTCTGACTTCCACAGAGCAGGGTTATAAAGTACCAGAGAGCACTGGAATGGCAGCTGACAGCAGATCCACTCCTGCACCGTCCTCTTCCCCCCTCCACCCCAAATTTTAGAAGGCTACTCTCATAAATAGAAACTCCGAGGACTCCTTTGTCTACTTCCACAAAATCTGAAGCTGACTACAGTGTTCTGAGGAATGGAAAATGCTAGTTTAGCATGTTCCCAAAAGCATGTTTCTGCATTTCTAACCAGTATTCAGTTTACCATATGAGCCACTGGAATAGAGTTGCTTTTGCCTGATGGTTAATTGCATTTTTCAGTGACACGTGGCACAGGCTATACCATGCCACTGGTTATTCTGTTTATGGGTAACTATATTTCAGCTGACATTAAAACTCATAAGTAACAAAAACACA